GGTTCCCCCCAGGGCCCCCCGCCACAGCTCCTCTCCTTGCCTAGGTCCTCCAAGGGCCCCCAGAGCGCCGTCCCGGCTCCACCGCGCTCCGTACCCTCCGCGGCCCGGACACCACGCCCATTGGTGAACGTGCCCGCCGCTCGCGTTGCACGTCGAAGCCCGCCTCCGCCGCTACTCTTGGCCCGCCCACATCCAGATACAGCTTCACTATTGGCTAATCGGTTTAGCCCCCTGACCTGATTGGCTACTACAGACGTTGGTCCATTAGACAGAAAGAAGAATGACTTCCGGCCGCTGGACCGCCCCGCCCTCCTCTGCTCTGACCCCGGTGCTGAAGCCGCGAAGAGGGATGCTCAAGTCCTGCATCCCGTTTCCGGTACAAGATGCGCCAGGGGAAGGCTGGCCGCTGCGGCGGACCCGGGACTGTAGTTCCCGGCGGGCAGTTTCTCCTCCGCGATTGGTACCGCAGTGCAAACAGTAAGTGAACGCTCAGAGCCCTGCGTTCTCGGGCACCCGGTGGAGTGCTGCACCGCGGACGGGAAGGTACGGACGGTGGCTTCTACACAGCGGTAGAAACAACGCAACGAAGACAGCAAGTGTCTTGGGCCGGCAGGTGCCCTGGTGGTTAAGCCCGCATGGTTGACTGCGCTTTGAGGCTCCAATCAGCGACTTCAAAACCACGCCAGACATGTGTGCGCAAAATCCCAAGAGAATGGAGAAGGCCTTGCAGCCTGGCATCGCCCTGGGGGGGCGTTTTCTCACTTTCCCTGTCTCTCTCCAGTAAGTGCCTGCACCCTATGGCAAAAGCCTTTAGTTAAAAAAAACCACCAATGCAAAAAAAATTGATATCCATGCAATTTTCTTGTAATATATTTTCTGTGACTTTTTGTATAACCCCCTGGCTGTTGACATTTCCCCCATTCTATAGATGAGAAAACTCGAGACCCAGAGGGTAACGCATACATAATCACACTCGAGACCTCCCTAGCTACACTGGATGTGTGTGCCCATGAACATGGCCTGGCGGGGTGGACCATGCCAGCAAGGCTCTGTTGGGGGACCAGCCCTCAGGCCAGTTAGGGAGCCAGACCCCACACGCTAGACCACGTTCTGTATCCAACCTTTCAACGTTCTGTATACAACCTTTCTGACGAGCACACGTGCCCTACAGCAAAAACCTCTCAGAACCAGCAGGCAGTGCAATGGTTACATCACTGGACCCCCACGGTCTATTACAGTTCGAGTCCCACACCCAGCTGCTTAAAACACACCAGGCGTGTGTATGTGCGTGCCCAGAATCTAGAGAGAATGGAGAAGGGATTGTGGCGTGGCCACCATTCCCCCTGCCAGGCCAGGCAATGGTTTCTCGCTGTCTCCCTCCAGCCAGCACACATGCCCTATAGCAGAAATCCGTTAAAAAATAAAAGGCCCCATTAGGGATGTTCACTGAGGGAAAAAACCAAACTTTAAAAATATAAAGGGACCAGCAGATGGCGTGATCACATCGCTGGGCTCACGTCGGCAACCCTGGTGGGCAGTGTGGCAGGTGGCTGGTTAAGGGCACACCGGACTCCCACACGGTTGACTGCGGTTTGAGTCCCGGACCTGGTAACTTGCTTTCCTCTTTCACTTCGTCCCTCTCTGGTCAAATTAAAATACAATTTAAACATAAAATAAAACCCGGGAACCAGCAGTTAGCGTAATGGCTATGTCGCTGGACTCCCACGTAGTCGACCGCGGTTCGCGTCTCAGACCCGGTGGCTTAAATCTCACGCCGGGCGCGTGTGCGTGCGTGCCCAAGATCCCGAGAGGAGAATGGAGGAGAAGGGATTGCGGCGTGACCATCCCCCCTGGGGGGTGATTTCTCGCTTTCTGTCTCTGTGTCTCTGTCTGTCTGGCGAGCGCACGCGCCCTATAGCGAAAAAAACCTCTCAAAAAAAAAAAAAAAAAAACCCCACGCATGTGCACTGTGTGGAGAGGGGGCTGCAGCGTGGCCACCCCCCCAGAGGATTTGGCGCTCTCATGAGCACACGTGCTCCGTACTAAAGGGCTGGGGCCAGCAGGGAGGCGTGGCGGCTAGGCCACTGGACACCCCACATGGCACCTGCAGGCCGAGTCCCAGGCGGGAGGCTGCTTTCCCGAGTCAAATGGGAATGCATAAAAATAACTTCAAATACACTCACACGCACCAGGCACGTGTGGCCAAACCTTGAGGGGTGAAGACTGCAGTCAGCTTCCCAGAGCGTGCTCTTCCCTCTGCATGCTGGCAGCTGGGGACAGGGACAGGGACAAGGACAGCAGGGACCCACCCACCTCTGTTCTTAGTGTCCCAGTCTACAGGGGCTGTCTGATCATCTCAGCCCACCCCGGACCAGGAGGGGCTGCCACTCAGCTCTAGGGAAGCAGCATCCCACGGTGGGCAGAGGGGCAGAAAGCAGGGGTGACTGGCACCTCCATGCTAAACCCAGAGTTCTAGCAGTGTGAGCTGGGGCCAGGTCTCAGGCCCCTCCAGTCCCCAGGGACTGAGGGACCCCTGGCGGGGTGAGCCAGCAGCTTGCAGCGGCACTCCGTGAGCATGACGATGACTTGTCTCACAGCGGCAGCCACCCTCCCCGCCAGGTCCGGGCACACCTGCTCTCAGCCACCGCGCAGCACCTGGCCCCAGTGTCCGTCCTG